CATCATGGTAGGAGACCACAATTATACATTCGTATGCTGTATCGGCCTCAGAGCATCAGTCTCTGAACGTCTGTCAGTCTGCTGGGAAGAGTGTTAGCCAAAATAATTGACTAACATTTGAAGGTTGGGACCAAACTTTTAGCAACTGGTTCGCAAGAAATAATTGGCAGTAAGGTTACCATCTGTGGTACGTGATAATTGATAATTTCATGGACTGCTATGTGTTATCATCCACACATGAAGGGCAGTGAGGAGGAGATGTATTAAGCTGAAAACTACAGGACTGCATGAGACGATTTCCAACAGGTTATAAAGCAATTATGTTTTGTTTCCACTGCAGTGGTCATTGAATTAATTTTCTGGTCTGTTAGATGAAACACATCTAATAGAGTGAAATGGAAATAGTCATATTTTACCTATTAGGATGCTTTTGTCTGCAAGTAACAATACCCAGCTAAAAGTGGCTGAAATAACTAGGGAGTTTCTTATTCACATAAAAATATATCCAGATGTAGGTGGTTCCAGGGCTCAGTCAGTGGTCTCAACAATGTGATAAAGAATCCAGGTCTTTCCAGTCTCCATTCCACTATTCTCAATATGAAAGCTTTTGGCCCTCAGATTTTCCCCCTCCTGGTTGCAAGAGGGCTGCTACAGCCCCGGGCATCATGTCTTCATACAGCCGCATTCATATTTAGGAAGCAGGGAGCAGGTAAAGTGACAGAAAAGCTTTTCCTATGTGTTTTGTTGGCCATTCCTACCTAAAGGCAGAGTATGTATCTAGTATTTTTATACTTATGTGAAGTCGGCTTTGACAGGAGGGAGGAAGGGTAAGAGAAATGATTCCTGGGAGGATGACAGATCTGCCTCACTATTGTTGAGGATTAAACGCAGTAATGTGGATAAGGCACATCTCACTGGGCTGGGCAGGTAAAGGGCTCCATCCTCACGTCTTTACTTCATCTCTCCCATTCTCCCCTTCCGGTTTCCTTCCTCATTTTTCAGCTTTAGAAGAAAAACAGAAATCCAAAAATTTCTTCACCTTCTCTAAACAAAGGCACTGCCCGTCTCTTCCACCCCAACCTGCTCTGTGGAGTTCCACAGCTCTGGTTTCTCCACACCATTTGGAACCCCCCTGACCTATCCAGAAAGCTCCTGACCTCAGACTGAAGAATACATTTTTATAGACAGTCCATGGATGTTGGTTATAAAAAAGAAACTGAGAAATCTTTACAAACAAACAAACAAACAAAATCAACAGAGGATGTTATTTTTACAATGTTAACCTGCACTAAAAATCATCTGTTTCCATATAGAAAAGAAGCAAAAGGCGCCCCCACGCCTGCCTGCGCTGGCTGCTCGCCGTGTGAGCGCCACAAGATGTTTCTTGCCATCAGAGTAATGACTTCAGTTTTTCCATTCCAACCGTGGTGAAAATGAATAAGAAAACTGGATCCTGCCCCTGGAAGCAGGATACAGGCTCTGCACTAATCAAAAAAGGAAGATTCATTATAAGACAATATTTCACTGTCCAGACCCTGAAGAGTTCCTAGACTTGTCAGAGAGGCTCTGAATCACTCCATGGGCCGCCACGGGACTAGAATGGCGTATTGTACAAGCCCGACCCTTTGCAGAGGTTTTTTTTTTTCCTCCTTAAATGAGCTCCCTGGCTGGTCTCTGAATCACTGCAATCGAAATCTCATAATTTCACCTTGTCTTCTAATCATTTTACCAGATAGCTTTTTTGAGAGGGCGGGAATAGGGGTAGAGATAAAAAGGGGGCCATGGCTCACCTAAAATGCAATGAACTGAGAAGTGCCAATGAGTACTGACACGTAAACAGGTACAAGGAGAGTGAAGGTTTTAGAAACCTGGTTAGCAGTGATGAGGACTTCAAGGGGCCATGCTCTCTTTGCCAAAACAAGGCTGATGAAGCAATGGGCTGACCCAGTGCTGGTGAGAGGGGCTGGAACTGAGCCCGAGTGGCTCCCGTGTCCCACCTGGTGGAGAAGCCAGGAGGAATCTGCTCTGTAGTCCTTTCATTTATGAACATCCAGAGACAAAATATGTTGATAACTGCAGGCCACAGCACTGTGGGATTCTGTTGGACACACTGCAAAGGAAAACCACCAGCAGCTGTCTGAAGTGCCTTTGTCTTATTAACATTTGGTTAATAAAGCCTCCACTGTGAAACAAACCAGATGGAAAACCAGCTTCCTTAGGAAGGCCTGAGTGCAGGCCGGGAAAGGTTGGGTGATTGTGTCCAAGTCAGGAGGTTTTTTATCAACTTGAACACCTGCCTGAGCCAAGCATGGACTTAGGGAGTGGGAACCCTGGTGCTGCCCTGTGGGAACATCCTCTCTGTTCTGTCAGGGAGGCCAGCTTGATGTTCAGGAACTGGAGAGAAACCTAAGGTGAGTGTGGAATTCACGTGCAACTCTGCAGGGCAAGTGCAAGTGGGCTCAGAAGGACACGGAGATCTGTGCAATATAAGTCCCTTGAGAGCAGGAGCGCCAACTGTCATTTTGGTATCCTTGGCATTGTGAATTTGTCACACAAAGTAGGAATTCAACTGGTAAATTTCAAATAAAGGTCAAAACTACACTTTTGTTCACTTTTATCTTGTGGATAGACTTATATTTTGTATAGGTCCTTTCCATTGAGTCAACTCAAGCACAAAGTAAAATGATTACTTGGTGAAAGCAGACACCTTCTGTGATGGTTAATTTCATGTGTCAACTTGATTGGGCCACGGTGTCTAGACGTCTGGGTCAATCCCTATTCTCGATGTTTCTGTAAGGGTGTTTTTGGATGAGATTTACATTTACATGGGTAGACAGAGTAAAGCAGATTGTCCTACATAATGTGGGTGAGTCTCATCCAATCAGTTGAAGGACTGAACAGAACAAAAGGCTGACCGCCCCTGAGCAGGAGGGGATTCCCCAGCAGACGGGCTTCAGGCTTCATCTGCAGAGAAAAGTCAACAACATTGGCTCTTCCTGAATTCCCATCAGGCTGCCTTTGGGCTTAAACTGCAACTTTTTCCTGAGCCTCCAGCCTGCAGCCTCCCCCATCAGATTTTGCACTTGCCAAGCCTCCACAATCATGTGAGCCAATTCCTTAAAATAAATAAATCTGTTTAAACACACACACACATACACATTGATTTTGTTTCTTTGTAGAACCCTAATACAGCCTCCTATAAACTGAAAAACAAGGCTGAGATGTTATCAATATGTTTTAAGCCTTTTTCCAGTCAGCACCATATCTGAGAAGTGTGGACCTGATGAGTGACAGCCCAGGGTCTGAAGTCAATGGGCCTAGTTCACGTGTGAGCTCTGTTCCTGACTAGCCCTTTGGCCTGCAGAGCTCATCCAAGCTGGAGAAACAACAGTTGTTAGATGACTAGAGCATTTCCAACCCCTGGAATATTAGTCTCCTTTTGCTGCTGTAACAAATTACCCCACACTGAGTTTTTAAAACAACATAAATATATTCTCTCACAGTTCTGGAGGTCAGACGTCTCAAATCAAGATGACAGCATGGCTTCTGGAGGCTTCAGGGGAGGATCTGTGTCTTGCTTTCTTTCAGCTTCTAGAGGCTGCCTGCATTCTTTGGATCATGGCCCCTTCCTTCCATCAGGCCAACCTCTTCTGTTGTCACATTTGCTACTAGTCTTCTGATCTCCTGCCTTTCTTATAAGAACCCTAATGATTACACTGGCCTCATTCAGGTAATCCCAGATTATCTCTTAAACTTAATCACTTCTGCAAAGTCTCTTTTGGCATCTAAGGTAACATTCACAGGTTCTGGGGATTAGAACATGGGTATCTTTGGGGTGGGGGTGGGGAATTTTCAGCCTACCACACCTGGTCACCAGAGGTCACTGGTTACATGTGGAAGGTGAGATAAGGGAGGGATTCCAGGATTTCAGATTTGGTACCTGAAGCTGTTTGGGGTTATTTTGGAAAAGTACTCAACTATTTGACAAATGCAGAAAGTTGCAACAAAGAAATGTTTTCTTGGCTGCTAAAGGGACAAATATGTATTGGTACTGTATGTTTCTTTACCAATGAAAATTCTGCTCCTAGAGTCACTACAGAGTAAAGCTTCCTCCACCTCAAAAAATAAAATAATATAAACATGTTTTTAAAAGTACAATATTCTGGTCATCTGGGGACACAATCTCTGGGGCCTGTTGCCCTCACAGCTTTATAAAGCGCTTTGCTGGGTCTCCTGTAAGTGAATTCCTTTAGCAGGAATTCAAAGCTTTTAAGATACACTTTGTGAGGTAGCTCCCTCAACATATATATTTGAGTGTCATAAATCCACGTCATTGTTTGCATTCTAGACTATGTTATCCCCACGTAAGGTCTAGAATTGTTCTGTGCTGAGCAGTTTGCCAGGGGATCAGTCACGTGCGGCGCTTCCCCCCGGCTGCACGCGTCGCCCCGCAGTGTGTGCTCTCAGGGCACTGCCATAACCTTCGCTTGGTTTGTTTTTAGCAGAGAAAACTTCATTTTGACGCCACAGAAAGGAAAGGACATCTAAATCAGTTTTCAAAATCATCCTGATTGCTTAATTTCGCGCTCAGCCATTGTTGTGGGGTAGCTTATGGTAATTTCGATAAAGACTAGCGGCCTGAGCCTGGCTGATTGTTAGAGGATTCACCTACCCTTGGGGGCCCCAGGCCGGCTCACTCTCATCTGGGGATGGTACTCCCCCGGGTGCTGCCTCTGGGCACCAGGGCTTTAAAGGAATTCCCGAGACCTGGTTTAGAGCTCAAGGATGATTTATGTTCCCCAAGGACGTTTTCCTACACATACTATGCCCTCTCCTCCTCTCCGCCTCCCCCCTTCGCTCTGAAACTCATTCACCCACCGGGACTGAGCCTGGAACATCAGCGCGGTCCCCCCGATGAAATGCCCCAGTCACTTCGAGCCCCGTCAGAGATCTCTGGCTCTGTCCCTTCACCGCCGTTTCCGTGCTTTCTGCTTCTCTTTTTAAAGCTTGACTTTATAGTGGGGGAAGAGCGTTTTCCCTTTTTTCTGCATCAGGTGAATTGCCATCATGGAGGAAGAGGCCAGCCACGTCAGGGCTCCCGTCACGGTGTAGGCGACACCCAGGAACAGGCTGCTGCCCCCGCACCACGTCAGGGTGGAAAGGACAACTGATTTTTCTCCTTGGAATCTGGTTACTGGGAAGTCTAAGGAAAGGAGCTCTGTTAAGGATCTGTCCTCGCACTTCTCGGCTCTCTCACTGTGTATCCTAAACATGTTAGGTCAAACCATATAAAATTGCTGTTTTCGTAGGTAAAACCAGAGTGGATTATTCAATTTCACATGGTCCCATCTTTGTCGAGTAGTACACTGTATCTCACTGTAAGGAAACTGAAACAAGCCTTCCCTGTACAGAGCTGTAATGCGCAAAAGAGATTCTGACATAGACCGACCTGAATGACCTACAGACAGCTGACTAACCACTGAACAAATATATTTAAACTCAAGGAAATGCAAAGCATACAGATAAGTTTTACAGCAAACCTACACTTCTGTTTTATGAATCAGGAGACCAAGGGTAGGCTAAGGTCCTTCACAGGCTAAGGTTTGAATTACTACCTCCGGGAAAATTCTACAAGAGAAGTGAAGAACAAAAAAATAGCAGTCTGCCGCCCTGGCCGGTGTGGCTAGGTTGGTCGAGTGTCATCCCCTGCGCTGAAAGGTCGCCACTTTGATTCCCGGTCAGGGGACATGCTCAGGCTACACGTTCAATGCTCACGTGGGAGGCAAACAATCGATGTTTCCCCCTCACATTGATGTTTCTGTCTCTCCCTCTCCCTTTCTCTCTCTCTAAAAACCAATAAAAACATTAAAAAAAAAAATAGTGAGCTTATACGGCGAGATATTTTTGGTAGGAAGACTAGAGGCGGGGCATTCGTTTGGGTTTTGGGAAGTCCAGCCTCCCTCGCTGCTGGGGAGAAAGTGTTTGAAGTGGGATTGCTATCGTTCGCATTTTAATTATGTCATTTTGATTATGCATGTGGTCTGAGGTTTTTAAACATCTGGTGCCTTTTGTAAACCAAACTAATAAACAAATAGAGGCTTCTCATAGCAACGGCACAGGACAGCAGCATTTCCCAGCAAAGCTCTCAAAAGGCCTGAACTCACTTGGCAACATGCAATTTAAAGGCACAAGGAAACTTGATGGGAAACAAGGTTTCTCTCTTTTACGTCAAAATTCCTCATTGTCACCAGGTCCTTGGGTGCCACCTCAGGGCATCCACTTGCTTTCTCTCCCCTCAGCTCTACGAGAGGGTCTTCTCCTCACACAAACACCTCTCTCCGTTAGCAGTGGCCGGCGCGCTCTGCAGCCTGGGCTTCGTCCTCTGTGCGCATCGGCCAGGCCTTGCGGGGTGGGCAGTTCTCACACCAGGGCCCGACACAGGTAGTGCCAGCCTAGGACTGAAGCTCGGGGCTGAGGTTCCGCAGGCAAGACTTAGATTTGAGAGTCATCAGCATTAAAATGTGACTGACTGAAGACACCCGAGGAGAGCTTGTCTCCAGAGGAGAAAAACGTGTCTCCTTTGTTTGGAGCAGACTCCCTTCCTCTTCCCCTCAGCCCCAAACTCACTGCCATGCACTGTCAAGAGAGCAGTTCCTGACAGGTGGGTTTTTTTCCTCCCAGGTTCCTAATTGCAACTACAACTACTCACAGGCAAAGTCAATGGGATCGCAAGGTCCAACTCCAGAAACTAGTCAAGCAACTCTCAATTTTTTTTTCAGGGGGTGAAAAGAGGGGTTGCTGCAATCTTATTCAAAAGGTAGTATTCTGTGGCTTACTGTTTGATCTGCATATATAATGCTGCACAAGGGAGAGCAAGCGATGGCTTTCATTTTCACAGACTAGAAGTACAGGCCCTGCTAAAGGAAGGAACCAAAGGCAAACGGTACTCCTGGTCAGCAAACAAAAGGAGGCAACAAACCGACAGGTAGAGACGGTGTCACATCAGTGGGGGTACCTCTGACTGAGGATGGAAATGTCCTCACTCTACTCGGGAACAGGAAAGATGGGGCAGGGAACTGGGGCACCAGCATTCACTCACTCACTTACCCCAAGATTTCTCATTCAAGCTCCCCGAGAAGTAAAGACACTGAGGAGGTGTTCTGTGCTGGGGGTCCCATGAACCACTCCTGAGCAGCAGCCCTGAGATGCCACTGGGCTGACCTCAAAGCTGTGTACCAGCTCTGGAAAGATCCCACCTCCTAGAGAATTCTCCCCCAGGGGGAATCAGGAAGAGACTTTAAAATTAAGTCTGGAGACCGGAATTAGCGTGAATGGTGTTTAAATATACAATTTTTTAAAGATAGTGTTTGGTGTCACTTTGAAGTGAAGTCCTTTCTGTTTTAAAATCGAGAGTTACATTTGTATTTTTGAACTAAGTGGAAAAATTCAGAATCTCGTATTAAAACATATGTCTCCCAACTTGGACTGTGCTCTGGGCACTGGCTCCTCGAGCTGAGAGAGGGAGGAACACAGCTCCTCAGGG